TATTTACTTCCACTTGTAATCTTCTTTTAGATTTCTTTTTGATTACATCATAACATAACGTATGATTTCTCCATTCACATTAACGATTCTCTCAATGTTATATGTTAATTAAAACAATTAAAGATATGTACATGTATATTCCAGTACAAGACTTTCAACGATTATTATTTTTCTAACGTAAAAAATGTCATTTCATCAAAATTAATATATGTACAATTCAATTAAAATGCTTTCTTGGACTTTTTGAAATTCATGTGATGCGAAAAAACATCCAAACACTAAGGCATAACCCCGCTAACACAAAAACATTTTTAAAATGTTTTTAAAACATTTTCAAAACGTTGCGAAAACATTTTTAAAAAATGTTTTAATCACGTGATTTTGTATGGTTTTTTAAACGTTTTTGAAACATTTTAGTGAAATATTTCAGCAAAATGTTGTCAGAACATTTTCTTTAAATGTTTCAAAAACATTTTCAATAATGTTTTAATCACGTGAATTTGTATGGTTTTTTAAACGTTTTAAAAACATTTTAGTGAAATATTTCAGCAAATGTTTCCGGAACATTTTCTTAAAATGTTACAAAAACATTTTTCAACAACGTTTTAATCACGTGATTTTGTATGGTTTTTAAAATGTTTTTAAAACATTTTACAAAATATTTCAACAAATGTTAACATAACATTGTTTTTAAATGTAACAAAAACATTTTCAAAAATGTTTTATTCATGTTTAAATTGTTCGGTTTTTAAAACGTTTCCAAAACATTAAAGTCGAGGTTACACCTGCATTTTTACTTTTTTTCATTAAATAATGATATATTTATATATTAAAAGAAATAAACACAAATTATATCTAATTTTTTAACCTTTAATACAAACCCATATTCAATATATTAATCACATTTAAATTCCATTTAAATTCAAGTTTTAATTTATTTTCTTTCAAGTCACCGGGTTTTTAAAGGTTGAACACGGCGTCTAATCCATTCACTGAATTTTAAAAGAACAGAATCACAGAAATCCTATGTTCACTGTATGGGCCGAACAGAGTGGCGGATCTATAAGACTTAGTTAGAATCACATACACTGAAAAGGCTGATAAGGAATCTGCTCCTCGGAAAGAATAGCACAATCTATAAAGATAAGGAAAATTGTGTTTGTATCATCAGCGTTCTACATCTAATGTATCTTAAGATGATCCATAAAAATATACAAAAAAAAAATATTTTAAATAATTATATCAAATTTAAGTTCTTTCCTCATTTGCATTGAAAAAAGCAGAAAAATAATTACTATGACAATATTATTCAAGTCAAGACTCAAGAGTAATAGTATTTACGTACACCTTTGCCTTCACCAAAGGCGGGTCTTTTGAATACGGGAATTTGAAAATAAGGATGATGCAACCAACACCATGCTGTAAAGAAATTTCATTTTTAAATCAACATATTGTTTGATGATTAACATTTCACAAAGACAACGAATACTTGAATCAAGGATATAATTGTGTTGCCTTAAGAATGAAATATTCAAATCAAATATTTATATAACATTAACGCTTTGTCATTGCTACATACATTTGTACTAAGTTATTGATCATGCACTGGTAGTATAAAAGTCGTTTTTAAATGATCTTTTAAAGTCTATGATAAAGGAATAATTCTTACCATTCAAAGTTAATAAATCCCGAGGTTATTATTGTGGTTTATATGGTGCGAAGTCTTCTCATTCAAATCGGTACGGAGTAAGCGCGCACATCTTGTTTACCAGAATTCAAAATTTGGCCTAGATAAGCTGCAAACTACTATTCTCTGTAACGCGCTGCCCAGCAGGAGAATTGCATAATAGGTTATCATGACACTGAAACTGACCAGTGTGCCAATCCCTATCTAATGCCTCAGAGTAAAATTCTGGGAGTGGATCACAGATTTGATGAAGACAATTTTTTTTTAAAAAGACATTTAAGAGTTTTATTTAATGCTTATTATTTTATATATTTAATTATATTTTAATTTTTTTGGTTTGCCTATCCTTTCATTTATTGATTTTTTGATTTGTTTAATCAAAGGACTTTATATAAATTATGTCTGTTTAATCAATAAGCCAAAACTAGAAATCATTATAAAATACCGGAAAAAATCTTTCAATTAAATTTCTACAATTCCTCATTTTAACACTATTCTTTCTATATATTCTTTTTTTTTCTTCATAGACTAAATTTTAGGAAACTCGCAACCATACATTATTTGAATGTTTTAAGAACATTTTGAAAATAACAGCAGCAATGAAAAATGAAGTCTTTAAAAAAAGAAAACACATTAAATTGAATGTTCTAAGATCATTCTCACAACATACTCTAAAAGTTACTAAATGAATTAAATTGTGCCGCAATTAAATAAATGTTTCAGAAACATTATGAAAATGTTTCCAAAAAATGTTACAAAAACTATAATTAAAATGTTTCAATTGTAGTGAAAATAATTATTTTAGTTAATGTTTTAAATAAACATTTTCACTGCCTAGGCCGAAAAATATCCGGAATTGAATGTTTTAACTAACAGCGATATTAAGAATGTTTTAAAAATATTTTTAAAATGTTCCTTACAAATGTTTCAGAAACGTTTTTGCAATGTTTCCGATTTACACAAAAAGAATGTTTCATTTCATGTTTTAAGAACGTTTTTAAAACGTTTTATAAGATCTTTAATTTTTGGAAGCTATAAATACCCTTAAATGAATTAAGAATGTTTCAAAAACACTTTGACAACGTTCCTTCCAAATGTTTCAGAAAGGTATTTATGCAATGTTTCAGATTTATCTAAAAAGGATGTTTCATTTAATGTTTTTAGAACGTTTTTAAAACGTACTATAAAAATCTTTGATATTTGAAAGCTAAACAAACCTTTTGAAACATTTTTAAAACGTTTCAAAAATATTTTAGAAAAATGTTCCAAAAGGATTTAATCATAAGCTTCTTCAAAACATTTTAAAAATGTTTTTAAAATGTTATAATGAGAAAAGGAAATGTTTTAAAAACATTTTTAAAATGTTTAGTCTGAAATGTTTCGAAAAAACCTTTTTACAACACCAATAAAATGTTTTGAAATGTTTTGTGCTACCTGGGAAATTTTGTCAGAGAAAGGGGATAAATACGTGTAGAAAAAGAAACCAAAAACATTCATTCAGAACTTAAGATCTTATGGGAATATACTGTAAATTAACTTTTATTCTCAACAACTCTATTTCGCAGTTCATCGAGGTTAGACTACATCGCGACGATTATTTTTCAATCAATCATTTTCTTTAAATCTGTTTTTAACAAAAATGGTTTGCAGTAATCTTAAAGCTTCAGAGTAGTTTTACCGAAATAAAAAACAATTCCAATTGATTACAGATTTTTTTTTACAGTTTAATGGAGAAGCATCATGTACAGGTATAGGGGTTCAAATCAAGACATTCATACTCGGCTGTCGAGGTAAATGAGTTGTGAAAGTTTTTTATTCCTACAACTCATATTTTGACATGAGACCTAGGTTTTAAAGGTCTCATCCGAAAGATCAATGACGTTAATTTCTATATCCTGGACATTGGCAAGGGCACAGTCTAACAGTCTAACAGGTAAAAACAAATAGGAAAGTTGAAATGCAATGAGCAACTGATCATCGACATTGTTTATCAAGCATACAGGAGTTACTTAATTTTGGCCATTCAAAATACTCAATATAATCAATGCACCATGGATCCCAAAATAAAGTCTTTAACAATGTTGATGTTTTTGGAACTGTTCAATTATATAAAAAAATAAATCTTGCTACTTGCAATTTAAGTTTATTTAAATAAGTATAGGATAGTCGAATCAGATCATTTCTGAAACAGATGAAAGTGTTTGAATACAAATTTGAACAAAAAAATGAGGTTAAATGGAAACGTTCATCGAACAAATATTCATTGACATATTGGTTGGTCAAGAGAACAATATATTCAAGGGTAATTTTCCAGTTAGTGAGTGAGGTTCGTTATATTAGACAATATCGGTAATGTATTGTGGTTTTAAGGTCAGTACTATACATGTCGTTCACCGAAATGAGCGGTTCAATATTCATTCAAATATACACCAAAAGCCATAAAGCTGTTTAAAACTTTGGAAATTCATATCATCTTTCTTGTTCACATTTGCTGAAGAATTGCAATGACAGTAGCAGCCTTATGATTAATATAAACAATCGTATTGATTTTATTTTTTTTTTTAATCTGAGTAAGAGCGATGTTGTAAAAAAAATGTCAGACACGTACAAAGTAGGATGGGTTTTGAAAGTGGCGGGATGTCTTGTTTTAGAGGCATGAGAAGGACGGCCGGAAAATGTATAATTCCAAAAAACAGAAGGATTCTAACACTTTGAATTTAATTACTGGGATGGGTTGTTCTATGTCCATTTAAATTTGGAGGGTAACACACCTTTCGAAAAAATAATTCCATATTATATCTATTTTTAGTAAACATTAAATACAAAAAAGGTGTAGCAATAGGCGCTGGCCAATTTGTCTCATGGCTTTCCAAAATATATGCATGAATGTTGTATTCTATTCACCTGAGAAGACATTAAATACAAGTGAAATAACATTTCAGAAGTCATCTTGTTATACAAATATCAGTCAGGGAGTCCAATGAAAGAAGTAATTGAGAAAAGATATGTGTTTTATTTTAAAACACGGCCAATTCATCTTATTAAATTCAAAAGATATTATGATAGGAATTATACTTTTTATTTCTCACAAAGATTTGAGGGACTTAGAATAGATTTCTCTGAAGAGCATAGAAGTCGTCTTGTTATGGAAAAATAAACCTAAAGCAAAAACCTTCAAGAACATGAATAAATGCATAATCATAAAACAAATTTTCTACTCCAAACAATTCTGCAAATATATCAATGACTTAATTCAAACCAATATAATTTACAGAACTGATAAAAAAAAAAAGAAAAAAAAAACTGATTGATAATCAACATTTTAACGTAGCCAAACAATGGTACGAGGATCTGCTTTATGGCTTGTATTTGTCCTTTTCATGTTTTATAAATGCATCTTCAGTGTCACCAAAGTAAGGACTTGCTAGGTTTTTTAACATCATTCTTCCAATCATGTCTAACAGACTCTCAACGTTTTTCTTCTGGTCTAATATATAACCAGTATCACTGAATGCAACATATCTGTGTTCCGTTTTTTCAATCCAATTTTTCAGTTTCGATTTTGGGTTTAGTGATTTGACGTAGTCATGAATATTTATGCCTTCACCTACCAATTTTTCCTTTCCAGTAAATACGACAACAATGTATTTAGTAACTTGACTTCCAAAATTCCTTTCATAAAATTCAATAGCTTTCTCGTCCTCTGTTGTGAATTTTCCTATCCTAGTGACAAAGAGAAGTGCATGAGGACCTGGTTTAGCTAGACGCAACCCCTTGGCTATTTCATTTTTGATAGTCTTTTCTTCTTGGTTTGAACCATACACACCTGGAGTATCAATTATGCGAACATGTTGCCCCAGAAAATTGGTAGCTTCTACAGCTGTTGACTTTAGTGTTCCAGGTTCATTGGAAAATACTAAAGGAACTGCAAATACTTTTCTTCCGATTAGCACATTACCAACGGTACTTTTTCCGACACCAACTTTCCCTATAACCAATAATCGCAATGGTTCGGAAGTGTCCTGTGGGTCTAAAAAAGAAATTTTGTGTTTATCAAGTGATTAAGTTAAATATAGTCATAGGCACTTCAAAGATACTTATTATTAATTCTAATAAAAATGTAACTACATGTACAAATCTACATACATGTGTTTGTAAATCTCATTTTTTGGCAAATGAACTTAGTTTGAAGAATCCACAAAATAAGAGTTTCAGTTGATTAGGATCCTCTTTTTATTTACAGTTTATTTCGAAAATGAGTCCAGTCATTCTATAGACAGATTTTATTATCAATATAGAGTTTTCATAATCTCTATAAATTATAAACTACAGAAAAAAAGCAGAATATTTTCATACATTTGATACCAAATACAAACTGCATTGAAGACTTAAGATGATTAACTAACCCACTTCACACTCTTTGTCATCATTTTGTAAAGACATTCCGTCAGGACACAGGCATTTAACGTTTCCCTTTGGCCGAGGTAAGCATATGTGGGAGCACCCTCCTCGTTTATAGGTACATCCAGTGGATTCTAAATTATTCAGGCTTTATTATATGCAAAACGATACATGTATGATTTAAGTTTCAACATTAATGATATTACAATTAATAGTCATTCTAAAATTATATATAGCTAAGTCAGCCACATTGCTTATTCCCACTGAAAACAGTAAACATTTTTTTTTGACATATAAACTTAAAATTTAAAAAAAAATGATAGTTTGAAAGAAGTTTGCGCGATGTTTCCTTAGATTTAATGGAATAAAAGGCAGGAAAATGTGTGAATCATTATTAAAAGTATTGTAAAGACATTTAACCCTGCACATAAGGTCCTCCTTTGTGAAAGTATATTCCATTCAATCTTGAAAACGTCTCCGTGCCAAGTTGGTAATGCATACCACTTCGAATCGATAACTCCATCACGTAACTAAACAGGTTGAAAAATATATCACTGAGGCCAGAAAGATCCATTACAAAATTAACAGAAAGAAAAAATTTGTGAAACCACAAATTTTCGCGGGGGTTTTCGTTTGTTTTTAGGTTTAAAGAGTCCCGCGAATTCATGACCACCATAAAATGTTAAATCTTATGAAAAAAAATTATTTAATTCTCCAACCAGGAAATAAAATTCCAACAAACCAATGATTTAAAAAAAACTTCAACACTTTTGCAAAATATGACTTTACAGTAGTAAACGTTTTCACAGTGGCTGGATTGGTTCATAATATAAGTTTTTCATTGTTTTACATTATATTATTTTTTGACGAGATGATTTAAATCGGAGACAGAAGAGATTCATTGGGAGGGTTTTTCTTTTCTATTTTTATTAAAGGTTTCGCCTTCCTTTTAGAATATTTTCAATCCGAAAACTTTTGTCTCACACTACTAATATTTAATCTGGAGGACCATCATCTCAATGAATGAAATGATTCCCTACCTTCAAAATTTAAATTGATATTGTCTACTACTGACTGTATTTTTTTTCTTGTTTTATGTTCAAATGTTTTACAATTTTATCTTTAAGAAATATGTGTTATCTAGAAACAAGAAAAATACAGTTACTGATTCATTTTCAGTTCATTGACTTATTTTGAATTATACAAAATTAGGCAATATCCATATTTAAGGTTTCTTTAGACTATTCATTGATATGGTTTAAATAAGTAAGGAATCTAAAGTTAATAATTCAATTTGACTGTGCAGGTTGTGGTGTCTACAGTATTTTTATGTAATCGACAATAACTATAGTTTAATAGAAAATAGTTGCTCTTGGAATGTCCAGTGCTTCCTCTTTGAGTGCCTGTTGAGCAGAACAGGATCTCTTTACCCGTTGTCTGTCTGTCTATCTGTCCGCCTCTACGTTTGTTTCTCTGTAAGTTTAGAAAGCATGTAATTGATATCTCTTTAACTGATTTATTGCTTGACATAACAGCTTTTGTAAATTAATGTCATTACAGTACTAGTCATCCTTTACTAAGGCATTTGCCAAACTTTTCAATAAATTCATCCCTACAAGTTTAATACTCTGTATCAGTTTATGAGGTACAGTTTTGGCTTTGTTTTAGGATTTTTACACTTTTACCTTGACTATTTTTTTTTCTGATCGTCCTAAAATTCCTGAACGAATTCAACGTATCCATTCCCCTTAAGTTTTTTTTTTAAATTTTATTTCTCAATTTAACAAAATGAACTAAAGTCTAAAATCTAAAACAATAATCAAAGCTATTTATTATAATGAATATGAATAACTTTGCACTGTTGTTTTTCCGTGATATATATACATACATTTTAAATATATTTTACGCTGGATTTGAAAGTCAACTTTTCTTGATTCAAATATTTCAAACTCAAAGTACACTATGATAACGACAACCCGTTGCTCCAATAAAATAAAAGCCGCGTACGGCAAAGTGGGAACAACTGAGAATCAACAAAACACCTAAGTATGAAACAGTTACTTCTCCTAACTAAAACTTTATTCTTTCAGTGCACACAAACACTCAAAACCCCTGACTTGTTTTATCTCGAATTCGATCAAGGACCTGTTTATTAACACCGCTATGAAAAGTGGGACACGATTGTATCCAATTACAGCTGCACTAGCAAGATGTTTGTTAGACGTTTGTAAAGATGTCTAGTAAATGACCCTTTAAATTGTATCGCACGGTAACAACTTTTCAAATCATTAATGCGTGGTAAGAAAACTGATTTTGCCCCCCCCCCCTTAATTTTTTCCTAAGTGGGTGACTGTATGTTAATCTTTATTTTATTATTAAACAAGTATCCTTTGTCTATCAATGTGTTTAGGGTTTGTTTGAAATATTCAAGTGTAATTGCATGACTCTTGTCAGTTTAAGGATTTTTTATATCCATGGTTCAAAATATAACAAGCATACCTAAATGAGCAGCTATATTACATCAAAATTTGTTTTCTGTATTTAAACTTGATTATATAACTAAAGTAACGTGCTCACTTCCACTTGTATTGTTTTTTTTTTATTTCTTTTTGAAAACACACCATAACGTACAACTAATTCATATGAGTGAGAATTAGGACGTTAAGCAATACACTGTAAATCTATCTTTTATCACCCGCTCCCAATCCAATTATCTAAGGAAAGTCTTTTGGTAAACTTCATTTATGTTTGATGTCATTTTAAATTCCCTTGTTTTTTGTTGATAAACGAAAGAAATGCAAATTTCAGGATGTGAAAATGTTTCGAGAAGTATATGCAATTAAGAGAAACACAGGTGCCCCCTAAATTATCTTGAAAAATATATTTAATATAATAAATGTTAAGCAATTTTCTCTTTCTGGTTTGTCAATTTTGATTATGTCTTTTCATCTTACTTAAGAAAAATCACTTCAAAATTTTATTTTTTGTGATTGTTTTTTCCCCATTTTTTTTCTTTTTTGGTTTTATCCCATTTTCGACAATGTTTTATCAAATGACGACCCCACTCCTTCCAGCACAAGTTTCTGAATATTAGCCTGTAGTGAGTACTAGGTCATTTGAGCAGGGGAATCTTTTATTGTTCGGACATCTACTGCGACACGGAACTTTGGTACAATCTATAGGGTTGGTACCGTACAAATTCCCACGATTTATATTAGTGGAATAATTATACATTAAAGTGAATACTGCAATGAAGTCTCTATACATATATTCATGTTAGTTTATTTTAATAGGTATTTTGTGTAGATATCGAATTTTCGGCGCATCTGATCTCTTATAGATTTGAATTGTGTAACCAAACATCCAGAGCTTTCCAGTTTACATGAAAATTATTATTGTAACTTCTCCCTGTAGAAAAATGTGATGCTAGAAAGTCTCTTATCGACGCGCACATTTACTTAATATACAGGCTGGATGAAATTAAAAAAAAACAAGAAACTATATTGTACTGATAAACAATCAGTTCTCTATTCTTTCTTAAAGATCATTTCCTTTTTGTGTCCTTTAGAATCCCACTTTGGATTTTTTTTTCAGTAGTGTGGAGACATCACCATGTACCGGTATAGGGTTTCAAATCAATACTCGGACGTCGAGGTCATTGAGTTGGGAGAGTTATTTATTCTTACAACTCTTACTTTGACATGAGACCTTGGTTTTTAAGGTATCATCCGAAAGTTCAACGACGGTCATTTCTATTGCCTGAATTTCAGCAAAGGCACATTCACATATATGTTGACATAATGTAACTTGAAAAAATAAATATGTAGGGTAAAGTGGGAGCAACTGATCATCGACATTGCTTTTTAAACATGTAAGAGTTACTTGATCTTTGCCATTCAAAATACTCGATGCAATCAGTAAGCCATTGATCCCAAAATTTTTTTTTAACAATTATAACATATGATTGATTTAATTGGAACAGTTTAATGATTTAAACTTAGAAATTTTATTTTGTAACCTGCAATTCAAGTTTATATTATTGAGTATAGGAGGTTTAGATCATTTACTTTCTGAAGCAGATGGAAGTCATTTAGTTCAATTGGAATTTGAAAATATGAGGTTCAATGACTAAATATTCTTTGCGATATTGTTTGATCAAGAGGATAATGCATTTAAGGGTAATTTTCTAATTAGTGAGTGATGTTTGTAATATTAGAAAAGTACGTACGGTCAATATCATACATGTAGTTTACCCAAATGAGCTATGCAATATTCATTCCAATATTCATCGAAAGCTAATAAAAGCTGAAACTTTCAAAATTGATGCAATCTTCCTTGTTAACATTTGCTGAAGAATTGCAATGACAGTAGCTGTCTTGATTATTACAAACAATCATTCAAGGAAGAGGGTACAGTTTCAACTTTATTGTGCCCTAAAAATTTAATGTTCTTAAAAAATTATGAAATTAGCTTTAACAATAGTTGAAAAGATAAATATGATAAATAATTAATGAATATGACATAAAGAAAAATGATGTCATTAATTTGAAATGCTATGAAAAATCATATATATCAAAATCTTTCTTGGCGACGGTGGCGGAGTATGTTTTTTGAAAAAAAAATTCCAACGAAAATTGATGCCTTCTACAATTTTTAAGAAAATACGGGAAAATGTACATGTTAATAAGGTCACAGTTAGCATTTAAGAGTTCATATATGAAAAATAAATCGTGTATTCCTACTGCTGGGAATTCCTATGATTCAGAAAGATTGAATTTTTATCTTTCATATCACGTTCATATTTTAGAAAAATATAGGGCTTTATTTGTTTTGAAACTGTACCTTCTTCTTTAATTTTGAATTTTTTCAATCTATGTTAAGTGCCATGTAGAAAAAAAAATATATCAAACACGTACAATTAAGGATGGGTTTTGAAAATGGTGGGATGTGTTGTTTTAGACGCATTAGAGGGACGGCTGGAATAGTATTATTCCCAAAAACAGAAGGATTCTACATCTCTGAATGTTATTACTGGGTGGGTTGGTATATGTCCATTTACGAAGGAGGAGGGTAACACACCTTTCAAAAAATAAACCATACAATATCTTTTTTTATTAAAAATTAAATTAAAAAAGAGTGTAGCGACATTGGACTCATCGCTTTACTTTTATGTGTTTGAATGTTGTATTCACTAGAGTAGACATTAAAGACAAGTGAAATAACTTTTCAGAAGTAATATTTTTGTACATACATCAGACAGGGAGTCCAATGAAGGAAGAAATGGGGCAAATACTTTTTGATTTATTTTAAAACACTAACAATTTATTTTATTATAGTGAAAAGATATCATGATATGAATAAAACTTGTTCTTTCTTACAAAGATTTGAGGAAAATAGAATATATTTCTCAGAAGAGCATAGAAGCCATCTTGTAATGGGAAAAAAACTAAAGCAGAAACCTTTGCGAATATAAATGTATGCATAATAAAAAAAAAATAAATGTTCTACTCCAAAATATTCTGCAATATATCAATGAATCATTTCAAACCAATATAATTTACAGAACTGATGAAAATGAAAAGCAGATTGAAAATTAACATGTTCACATAGTTAAACACTGGTATGAGGGTCTGCTTTATGGCTTGTATTTTTCTTTCTCATGCTTCACAAATGCATCTTCAGGATCACCAAAGTAAGGACTTGCTAAGTTTTTCAACATCATCCTTCCAATCATGTCCAACAAAATGTCAACGTTTTTCTTCTGGTCTAATATATAACCAGTATCACTGAAAGCAACATATCTGTGTTCCGTTTTTTCAATCAAATTTTTCAGTTTCGATTTTGGGTTCAGTGATTTGACGTAATCATGAATATTTATACCTTCACCTACCAATTTTTCTTTTCCAGTAAATACGACAACAATGTACTTAGTAACTTGACTTCCAAAATTTCTCTCAAAAAATTCAATGGCTTTCTCGTCTTCTGCTGTGAATTTTCCTATCCTAGTGACAAAGAGAAGTGCATGTGGACCTGGTTTAGCTAGTCGCAACCCCTTGGCTATTTCATTTTTGATTGTCCTTTCTTCTTGGTCTGAACCATACACGCCAGGAGTATCAATTATGCGAAAATGTTGCCCCAGAAAATTGGTAGCTTCTACAGCTGTTGACTTTAGTTTCCAGGTTCATTGGAAAATACCAAAGGAACTGCAAATACTTTTTTTCCGATTAGCACATTACCAACGGTACTTTTACCGACACCAACTTTCCCTATGACCAACAGTCGCAATGGTTCGGAAGTATCCTGTGTGTCTAAAATAGAATTATTTTGTTTATCATGTGATAACGTAAAATCTATGTAAAGGCACTTAAAAGTGACTTATTATTAATTTTAATCAAAATTTAACTACATGTACATGTATATCCACATATTTGTCAATCTCATTGTTTTTGTTTTTTTGGTAAATGAACTTAGTTTGAAGAATCCACATCTTAAATAAGAGTTTCTCTTGATAGAAATCATCTGAAGTTTTTATTAACAGTTTATTTTGTAAATGAGTCCAGTCAGTTATAATAACATATTTATTTATCAGTATTGAGTATCCATAATCTCCATAAATGATGAAATGAATTTTAAAAAAATTCTTCTGTTTCCATAGATATACATGTAATACCAAATATTTATTATTGAATATATGATAATATATATGTGCATTGTAGAAAAACATTGCTATGAATATTACCAACCCACTTCACACTCTTTCTCGTCAATTTGTAAAGACATTCCGTCAGGACACAGGCATTTAACATTTCCCTTTGGCCGAGGTAAACATATATGGGAGCACCCTCCTCGTTTATAGGTACATCCTGTGGACTCTAAAACATTCGAGCTTCATTATAATAAGATAAAAGGTCAAATAAAAATGTAAGATTGAAAGAAATTTGTTTGATGTTTTCTTAAATTAAATTGGGTAAAACTCAGGGAAAATGTGTTTATCATTTTGAAAAGTATATTTTAAAAGCGTATTTACCCTGTATATAAGGTCCTCCTTTGTGAAAGTATATTCCATTTAATCTTGAAAACGTCTCCGTGCCAAGTTGGTAATGCATACCACTTCGAATCATAAGCTCCATCACATAACTAAACATGTTACAAAAATAAATCACTTTAAAGAAAAGCATCCATTACAGAACTGATAGAGTGTGCTGCAAAATTACAACTTTTTATGGGGGGGTTAATTTTATTTGTTTTAAGGAAATAATGATACCATGATATGTAACATTTCATATTTAATGCTACGTAATATTATCCAACCAAGAAATTAAATCCCCACAACCTAATGTCTTTCAGGATCTTGAAAATTTGATTCCACAAATGGAATTTTACGGTAGTAAAACTTTCTGATGGTAGCTAAAATAACTTAGAATATGATGTCCTCAGTGTATTACATTAAACATAACATGGTGTGATTGATTAAATTGAGAAAGGGGATGTTTGTGATTTTTCCCTTTAGAGAAATAGTTTCAGTTTTCTAAACGGAAAGTGTCACAATTTATTATTAAAAATATGTGTCATTTAGATATATTTTTTTAAAATACAATTTTCGATTTATTTTGAGTGATATGAGATATCATGAATACAATTAGTGTTCGTTTTCTCCATTTATTTCATCATAGCATTTCTTGAAGATTGATTGGTAATACAAAGTTATACAAATAAAATATTTTTTTTCAGATTTTGATTACGATAGAAATAGGATGAATAGCTGATAATGAATTGATTATATGGATTCAATGTATGAATTCAGAAACAGATTGATGTGAATACCTTCTTGACCAGTCTGTATAATACAATCTTTTTCTGTCAAATGCCAATCCAAAGAAATGAGCATCTCCGAATTGATCGCTAAGTACTCGCCGGTTCGTGCCATCTATGTTTGCCTTTTCTATGAGACCACTTTTTCCATCGCACCAGTACATTATGCCTTCTATCAGAAAAACTAATGAAACAGCTGTTTATTTATGCATATATAAATGAAGAATTATTATCATTTTCTATATTCTAATAGTTTTTGATCATAGAGAATGTTTCTCTTCCTTGTTAAATGTTTTCCCAGGCACCTGGTACATATTTGTGTTAATTCAGAGTTCTCATTGTTTGAAATTTTACTGTGTTGCAGAATTAAGGCAAAGTACAAAAATTTTGCAGTATTTTAGCGATTAAATTAGCAACTTAATCACTATTCATTATAATTACAAAAGAATACATGCTCACACATTAAAAAAAATCATTAATTAGTTACACAAATGATATGGTCGTATATATTGATAAAAGTTAAAACACGTAATCTGAAAAGCAGAGGTAATTTTGATCTATACAGTTGAACTACTTACCAATTTCGAAAGTAATTTTTTAGTGATTTTTGTCAGTTTTCTTAATCTAATTACGGAAGCACAAAAAAGAACTCAAGAACAGTAAAATACTTTTAAGAGTTCCTTAAGAATTTAAAATAATTGCTCAATTAATTGATTTCCGTACGAAGGTATATGACTTACAGTGTTAACGTAATTCTAGAGTCGTGGTTCTACAGAAAAAAAAACATTCATTTTTTTAAATAATACAATGTATTTTTAATACAACTACAAATTAACAGTTACATGGAAGTGTGAAACAAATCATAAGTCTTTGTTTTTTCATGCGAAAAGTTCAGTGATGGTCTAGGAGATAATTAATTATGCAAGGTGAAGCCCTAATAAATTGCTCTGCATGATATAATTGAAAGACCGTGAATTGTTTGATTAAAGTTTCAGTGAGACAAAATGTATATAGTTTTATTATCTTATCACAGATCTTACTGTGTCGGAAGATTTTACTGTGTCATAAGCATAAAATTTGAATCGTTACTGTGTCAGGAGCAACACAGTAAAACAGCCCATGGAGAACCCTGCTTTAATGTATTCATGCACTGTGCTACCAGGATGAATTAAAGTCAATTTGACATGTGTCACAGAATATAAAAAAAATATTAAAAAAAAGAGTGATTAGAGAAATGGATTTTTATCCCTATATTCTATATCCAAGCAAAACATAATTAATTCTTTCGCATCTTGTTTTATGCTTACGTAATTTTAGATTTGGGAGATGTATTATTATTACGCTGTCTGTCCATCTGCCTAACAACGCCCATAGGTTTCATTTTTTTGAGGAATGACTTTCATATTTTGTTTGTTTATTACTTTTGCCAAGTCCCTTCCTTTTTTGTAACAACATTTACGACTTATTAAAATTAACATTGGAGTGAGACAAGTGTTTGAAAAGAATCACCAGACTACATGTAACCATGGCCATAACTTTTGAATGATTGATGCATTGACTTTCATTTTTCAGGTCAGGTTTATTCCCTGACAAAATCTACTCTTAAATACCAACATTTTTTTACGGTTTAAGTTTGGACTTAGACCTTTATTTGTAAAACTTTAACCATTTGCATAAGTTTTGAAGAGTTGGCGCTACTGCTTTAATATTTAATATGTTTATTCTCTTGGGCACTATTTTCATTTTTTGATATTTTTACCATTTTTTTTAATCTGATATTTTGCATTGAGTAGGACCTGCTTTCGAAACCTTTCAATAAGGCAAAAACTTTGAAAAGATTGGTACTGACAAGTTTACATTTTACATTTCCTGGGCATCATATATTAGACCATTTGACCAGGCGTTTGACCTATTGTAGAAAAAAAAAAAACATAAACTTGACCCTACATTTTGTTCAGTTAGGGTGCTCATATTGCACAGGTGAATTATTAGTGACAAGATCTATTTGGGATTCAACATTTTTAGCTCTTGAAGTTTTACTTTTTAAAAAATATTCGGTGTTTCTAAAACGTATCTTCTTTTATTCTTTATTTGCAAGGGATTTTCATTAAAATTTCTAATTTGATTCATTAATTTATAAAATTTACTTTAAAACCTAAAATTAAAAAAAACCAGTGATAGAGTGTCAAGAGCACAATCATCTTCAACTGCATATTGTTTTCTAAATTTAAATGTACATTAATACTAGATCTGCATTTCAGTTAAAAAGTATATATATTGTTCAAGTTGATTTATTAATTCTTTACACCAATACATCCTCAGTGCCAAATGCATACCTTCAAAATCTATTGCCAGACCGTTTGGCCAATATAAGCCCTTCGTAATAAGATCTTGCCTTTCTGATCCATCATGACTTGCCCTCCAATCCTTGGACTCTCACCCCAATCCGTCCAATATATAACCCTGTAAAACTAACTATTTTAGGACGTCAGAGAACAAGACGGATATTCCAAATACTATTTGATGTTCAATTTATATGATAATTTTTCTTCAGCAAATGTATATCAGAATACATTTGTGTTAATGTGTGAATGCATACATGTCTTTAATTGAAAAAGAAAATAAAGGCTAGTGATATAGATAAGGATTACCTGATAAAGATGAATAAAAAGGACTCATCAGTTATCGTGACATTAAAACGATTTTTGTGATATTATGGTCAAAGAAGCGGACCATGTATGATTTACCCAGTTTCGTAATCGGAAACAATTGATCTTGGCTTATCCACTGCTTCCTTTATGATCTTTTTCTGATAATTATTTCCGTCTAGAGTTACTACAGAAATAGAGCTATATCCCGAATCTGTGAAGAAGAGCAACCTAGACACCGAGTCTATGGAGATCCCATCTACCACGGAATCTGAAAAAAAATGCATATAGTGTACAGAGGGTGCGACTGAATGGCATTGGACACCTACTTCTCCTGAGGCCTGTTCAGCAGAGTGAACGTTTGCGAGCGTTCCCAAAAACCTTTACTTTTAATTGAATTTTGGCTATAGCTTTGGAAGTTCGTGCTTGTGAACAAGCCTTTGGTATCTAATACACTTCTGATTTTTTAAATTTTTTTTAATTTTATTTTTATCTTTTTTATTTTGAAATTTGTGTTTCAGAAATGAAATTTGTATTTTGTAAAGTTTTAAGGAGTTTGAACATAGTGTGTTATTTTCAATTACATCAAAAGTAATAATGTTTTCTAAACTACTTACCGTTTCCAAGGTAACGGACTACTCTGTTCGTTTTGCCTTCAAGGTCACCAGATTTCAACTGACGTAATCCATTATCTGACCAGTAAATGCGTTTTTTTGCTTTATCAAACTTATAGCAACAGGATTGGGATGGAAGCCAAACAAAGGTTCACTGATATACGTCGATAAATTCATCTTGTATATCCCCTTCTTTAGAATCGTAAAAAGCAAAAAGTTCCCATCCTTTATTGCTGAAACATAATAATTTTCAGGATATCAAAAGTACTACTTCCATAAAAACTTCTGTGTAAAAATGTGTCTGTTTTATTAGGGTCTTTCATTCCTTCGAAACCCTTGTTTTCTACTGTTTCTTATTTTTTTTGTTTTTTTTTCCCGCCGGATTTTTGACGGCATATTCAAAGACCTTTCGATTGATTTTTATGAAACTTTCAGGTTAGATCCCTTTTATTTACATCTATTTACATCTGCTTTCAATTTTTTGATACATGCCTTACTTTGTAGTTATTGCCCTTTAATTGATAATTTTGATGTCTCGTTTCCACTAATAATCTAAAAAGACATATGATAATTTTATGAAAGTTGGAGAACTTGTAGCCAATACATTGTAGATGTGCATAACGAAAAAATTATAAGCTATTTTTAAAGATGGAAGCTATGTGACGGCAATTTTTAGTAATTTTTTTTCCATGAAATTTTGCTTCTTTTTGTGTAATAACTTTTGAACCGAGAATAATTTGGAAAAAAAAAACATGTATATAACAAAAGTTGTGCATTATTACGAGAGCTTTCATATAAGATAAAGGGAAAAAGGGGCTGGCCCCTATAATTAGGGGTTAATAGCTCGTACACGTTTTTTTCTGATAGCTAAAAATATTGGTATATTATGAAAAAGTTTGACTGAAATAGTTTCGAACTATTAAATCTTGTCGTTTGATATAAAGAGAAATAAACTTCAAGCTATATTTAATATTTTTTTTATAAAACAAATATGTGAGAAACCTTACGGGAACAAGTTGTCTACATAAGCCAAGCCTTTACTTGCATAGTTTTAGTTGATGCATCTGAAAGATATTGTTTTGATTCGGTGTTTCTCTGTTTTCTTTTCATTCAAATAATTAATATGATGTGATGATGTACACAGCAATAAGTAAAATCAAAATATTTCTGCATTAGTTTAGAGGAAGTCTTTTGGGGCCTCTTGTTTGTAAACAACGCGCGGCATTGTGGGAAATGAGAAGGTACTAAAGACCTAATAAAAAAACTTTTTGACCTGATTCAAAATCGTCAGAAATATTCAAAACAAACGAATTTTTGTATAGCATTATGCATCATAGTCACAAAGTCTTTAAATAAGTCATTTGAAGTACTAATATTATCATTTAATCTAAAATAAAAACATCAGGTAAATATCAGGTCTTTCGTATATCCGGTTATTAGTGTTCCCACTAGTTCCCAGTGATAAATGTATCGAGTGATGAAAGAGTCGACGGTGACATTTTAAAGTCTGATTGGCGTGGACCATCGGAATGAAGGTTAGAAATTTTTTTTACCTAAAATTTACATTACTATGGCAGCTTAGAGCATTGGTATTTTTAAAAACACAGACACACCGATACATCTGTTTAAAAGCTCAGACGCTTTCTGTTACCCTTTTTGAAATTCCAACAGCTCTTTATTTTTTATTTAAATATATGTGAGCATTTGATTTCAACAAGACTCACTTTCAAAACAAAACATTCAACACTCCACTATCCATCATAGTGATACTCTTATAGACTGTTTAAAGGAAATGCGGATGTCTTTTGCAGGGCAAAAAGATAAGTTTGGTAAATATGACGTATAAGTAATAGTTAAATATACATCATTTAATTATCTTCCAACAAAAACTTTGCCAAACATTATTATTTTGCCCTGCAAAAGAGCGGATTAAAATGGAGGGGCTAATTCACACTACACTTATTATTAGTTGAATATACACTGCAACAATTTGTTGACGGTGTGACTGTTAGGGTGAGGGCAGATACTTATTCAGTTTTAATTTTGATCGGGCTTGTCAAACCGCACTTGATATTTTATCATCTTGCTCACACAGGGAGTTTAATGCAAATTACTTTAATTTGAATTAATTTACTGTGCATTAAATTACTTAGCAATAGCTCCGTGTTAACGCTAAATGAAACTAATTCGAATTAAATTTTGAGGCATGTGTGATGGAAAATTAATTCAAATGCTACATGTTGGTGGTCAGCTTTTAAAATTGTGCTATTTTTGAGTGGATGCCCTTTCTGACGCTTGACTGTAGAAGTAATTATTCGCATTTGTTTTTCGCATTTGCTGTCATGTTAACACAGTTTGAAACCATTGTTTTATTCGCATTAGTTTACTTCGCCATAATTTACTGCAAATTAAACTCTCCATGCGAACAGGGCACTAGACTTTGAAGTCACACGATGTCGGGTGTAAGTTAGGCCACATTACCAGTCTAAATCTTGAATAGTGCTATTTAATAAATATTTTTTTCCCACTATTTTTCTGAATTTATCCATTAAATCAAGGAAAATTTATTTTTTGGAAACTTTTGGTTAATTCTTGCAAGAATGTAGCTTAAAGAATCAAAGCACTGTGGGTCCAAAGTTACTGCGGAAAAGAAATTGTGTGGATCGAAAAGCAAGTGATAATTTTTTCTTCGCCAATTAAGGCGTTGTCATGAGAGCTTGCACTATGAGCAGCGCTTCATGCTGCTGCTGACGCATAAAAAGCTGTTCAAACAAAGTCTTTAGTATCAAAATTTATTGACAAAAAAATTGCAAAAATGTTGCTCAGTTAAATCGCAAAAGAAATTTGTAAAAACAATTGTAATAATAGAAAAATTGCTTATTTTTTAGATGACTGCAGGAATGGTTTGTTTGATTATTGGCCTATCAAACATTTTCAAGTATTTGATGATGCCACCACTTGGGATAGTAAGCTGCAAATAGAGACTTGTACTACCATTGCCTTTGAAAAGAAGGGATCCTTTTGACACTGAATCTCAGTTTATACGGTCTCATTAGTAACCCGTTTAAGCATTTAGCAATGGGATTGGAACCTGGAGTACAATAGCTTCTTATTGATACTTTGATTGGTAATGTTATTTCAGAATTTTTTTTTACTCCTTCACTCATTTAGAGGTGCTAATATATATACCGGTGAATAGTTTTAATTTAGACCTTTTTTGGAACTCAGTGACATTGTCCTAACATGTAATATGAGGTTTTTAAGTTCTCATTCACTTCAAATGCTGGGTGCATGGTTAAGTAACATTATGCACCATGTTTTTGTTTAGGTTTTATCAGTGAATAATCAAAGTACTCAGAAGTACTGAAAGCTGGGCTCATTTACAGGGTAATGAACAAAGACCGTGATGACAGTTTTAAAAAAAAGTTCTCAGACATTGAGAGGAATTTTTATCCACAAAAATATCTCTATGGCATATATATAGTATTAAAAAGTTTTAAAATTAACTAAAATTATTATAGAATTTAACAGCATAAAATATTTATCCCTGTATCGTTTGAGGGGTGTTGGGGGTTTATATACCAACAGAAGTAAATAAACACTAATGCAGCGAGATTAATTAAGGTCAAAATTATGCATTGATGTGTCCTCAGCTGAGAATTTGCATCAAAGCGTAAATCAAGTAATTATTGATGTTTAGGCCTAAAAAAAATAAGTTTGTTTTCCCGTAACCCACCACCCCTTCAAATTACCCCCCGGGGGATTTTTTTTTGACAAATGCCAAAACTTTGTTTGATCAATCAGCTGATTCCATTTATTAAAAAAAATGAAATTAGCTTGTAGTTAAATTGAAAATAAAATATGTCAACCTAGTTTACATTTTCCTTATTTATTAAAAAATATTATTATAACAACTTTTTCCCCCCACAACTTGTAAATTCGTTTTCTGCCTCTTGGCAGCCATTTTGGATGATGGGGTTCCATAAATAC